GACTACAATCATGCCAGAAAGAACTTGATACAGATCTCAACTTCATTCTTACCTTTAAACATTTTTTCATAGGATACCACAGTATAAAGTGCCAAAAAGCAAAACATACTGTAAATTCCAAAAGTTATATCTATGTTTGGTCCAAACAGTTCTGGTAGTCAAAACCTTCTCCCTTTTATGTATTAGAGGATATTTATCTGCCTTTTTAGTGAACAAGATAAGTCATGATTTCTACATAGTGAGTGTAACACCTTTAATTCAACTATTTATTGACTAGCTCTGTGCCAGGCACATAAACGACTCTATCCTGAACACAAAGAACTGTGTGCACGACTGACTGTCCATTCTTCCAGGAATTTGGCCTCACAGTTTAGGCTCTAACCCTTAGGTCAAGATGAGTCACTTCTTTACATACCTCAGCTTCATCCATCTCCCTCATGATTTCCTAGCACTAAACTTTTTTTAGGGTTTCTTCTTAGTCTATCTTTCTAGTTTTTTTTTTTTTTTTTTTTTTTTAAAGAAGACTCCCTTCTGTGATCATGTATCACCAGAACCTGATGTAGCTTGCCCTCTCCATCTTTGTAAATGGCAATCACCTAGGGGTTCAGTGACAAGAAGAAGAAAATAGACTTAATGGATCTTCGGTAAAATTGCTTAGAAAGGGCTCACATACTATTTATAGCAAGGAATATAAGCTTATTACTCTCTTCTAAATTCTACATCAAGTAATCACTATCAATCTCCACCTTTAAAAGCTTCCAACTAAATTGTCTCTTATTTAAAACAATCACTAATTTTAGAGAAAGAGATCTTTAGTAAAATTCTGGTAACGTATTTTTTTCTTTTGAGAGAAGTCAGATAAAGAACTTGCTGTGATATAAAAAACATGTAACATCCCCCTTTTACTTTGTTTCCCTATTAAAGAATGCTCTCTCTGATTAGGAGCCCCCACTAAAAAGCTTAAATCAGGGGCGCCTGGGTGGCTCAGTGGGTTAAGCCTCTGCCTTTGGCTTAGGTCATGATCTCAGGGTCCTGGGATTGATCCCAGCATTGGGCTCTCCACTCAGCGGGGAGCCTGCTTCTCTCTCTCTCTGCCTCTCTACCTACTTGTGATCTTTGTCAAATAAATAAATAAAATGTTTTTTAAAAAAGCATAAATCATCACTCTATGTTCTTCTATATGGCAAATCAAATAACTTTATAGTGGAAAGCAAGCTGTTGCTAAAATAACACTTTTTAATCTTGTTGAGAGCAAGCAAACAGTTGCAAATCCCATTATCCTTCAGTTGATATAGCTTGATACATTCCTGAACTGGGAGATATTCCTCTTGGGCCCCCTTCCTTATTTACAGGAGGAAAAGCCCTGAAACTCTCTCTCAGAAGCCTGACATAGTTAAAAACACTGAAAAGGAAGGTCAGATCGCTATCAGTCTGATATGATGCAGATAGCAAGCTAGATTTTTAATACACAAATTGTGATATGTAATTTAATTGTATATGAAGTGTTCTGAAATCAAGAGGTCATACATGCATCAGGCACATTCGACAGAAGACTTTTACAATGGTTTACATTTCCTTTTTATTTATTCCTTGAAACTGCTGTATTGCAGGTTTCTCATGGATGAAATATGGAACTGAGCAGATTCCTTTTTCTACAAAATTATGGTATAAACTTGCTCAATTTTCTATCTTATTGCTAATAAACCTTACAGGCGCACAGTTTGTAAAATAAACCCCTTAAGGACTGAATGTGTAGAGCATGCTGCAAGGTACAAGAAATAAGCTAAAAATGAGCATATAAACCTACATGTGGACCAACACAGTACTGAATGCTGGCAAACATTTATCACAACACAGGGAAAAATTAATAAAAGGAGATACAGTTCAGTCCTGAAAGGGTTAAATAGAAACCCTAATATATTATTGTTTCTAATCATTCATCCCACATTACAGTGCTTGAAAACAAAGTCAAAAGTCTGGCACAGAAAATACACACATTTGTTCAGTACTCATCAGAAAACACAGCTGCTTTTGAAATCAGAAGTAAGTAACTTGGTTAATAATTGAAGAGCATTTTGTTTAAAAAAGGAACCCCTCCCCCCATGGATTATCTGGTTAAACATGACGAAGCTTAGTTCTCAGAAACTGCATTGGGAATATTCTGTGAGGGCACAGATGGTACCAGTTTTGTTAAAAAAAACACACAAAAACTAACCAGTTATGATCGCAAATAAGTCTGTGCAGAAGAGTGATAAATATTTCACTAACATATAAATGAGGATGCCTTTAGTTGCCACAGTTGAAGAAAAGTCAGCAGCAGGTTAAATATTATCCTAGTGTTCAATTCTGAAATCATCCAAAATCAAAAGGGCATTCTACATTTAAAAGTCTTTAACTTGCCTTCCCAATCTATGTAATCAATTCAATGGAAATAATGAAAACATACCAGATCACAGACTCAGTTTCTAGCATATTTTTAGAAATTGCATAGCTCATGAGAGCAGAAGACACGCTTCTAAAACAGAATCAAAAAACAAAAACAAAAACAAAACCCCAAACTCGACAGTTCTCTACTTTAACTGAAGCGTTCACGTTTCTAAGAGAGTCATTATGTGGAAAAGGACCAGCATCTCTAATAATGCCATTGGAGGAGGGGCTGAGTTCTTCTATAAACAGAGGACAAGGCTCCTATAAATTACACACTGAATGATTCACAAATCCACGAAGATTTTTTTTTAAAGCAGCTGACAAAAGAACTACTGATAAAAAAGAAGCTACAACAGACAAATCATTTCAGTCTTTAGTTTGTGGTATGCATAATGGCATAAAACAGCAAGGGAAATGCCTGTTTAAGTACATTCTTGGACTTTTCAAACAAACAAAAAACAAGCAGGAAAAGGCTTTACAGTCTAATATTTCAAAATCATCTTATTAAAAGAAACAACGAGCCAAAATAAGGTATAAATAGTAAAAAAGCGAAGTTCATTTTTAATAAAGCCATAAACTTGAAAAATTAATTTGAGCTGCAAAGGTAGGTAAGGAATTGTTTGTTCTTCCAAAATATCTCATCTGTTACCAGTTAATTTAACACAGTTTCATAACTAAATACCAAATCTGGGAAGAGGAGGAAACTTGTGGCCCATTCAAAGGAAAGCGGCACTGAAAATATTTCCACACTCCGAACAAAAAGCACTGTGTAAAGACTACTTCCGTGACACAACATAGAAGAATAAATACTACTCGGAAATAAGCAAGTTTGCAAGGAGAAGCTAGTAAACAGTTAAAACAAAGAAAGATAAGGCCACAATTCTGCCCTTGATCACTGAAACAGATTTAAAGTGTGAGGCAGGGTTAGCTTACAGGAGAAGCTAGTGACTGGAGCAGATCTGAAGAGAAGGCTATATAGAGAGAATAATGCAGCCTGTGAGTAATTAAAAAGGCTTGCAGTAAGATAAAACCATAATAACTTTGATTTAACCACTAATGTGTTTTACAAATGACTTCCCCCTTGAAAACTGAGGAAAAAGTGATTTAGAGAGGTTAGGAGTCGTTATTTACAATGACATAGTCTGAGCAAAAGAATGAGTGATGAAGACATCTTGCAAAGCTGGGGTGACTTAAAAAAAAGCTACTAATGAAATGTTTAAAAAGTCTTCCAATGAAAATGTTTTCAAAATCGCCCAGGACACCAGAAAAGACAATGTTCTGTCTGGAAACACTGCAGGAAGCTAATCTTGCATTCATAAGGTACTTGTGGCTCCTGTTTCACGGGACAGTAAAAGCTTACCACATTCTAGAGGTAGTTTTTAACTCTAAGAAGGATGATTGTATTACTAGACTGTGTCCTATAAGTTACACACATGGTTCCTGTACTAAATGTAGCCCAATGAGTTGGCTGCAATTTCTAAGAAACTGAACAAAGGCATAACCGAAGCGCAGGAATGGAAGCAATGTGAAACTGGTGAGTCGAGCATATGAGGCCAACACACAACCCTGAATGCTACTAAATCTTAACTGAATGGAAAAGAAATGTTTTGAGTAGGAGACATTTGTGGGGACACTCAGTACTGGGAAAGAGAAGACTAAGAAAGGCAGAGAAATATGGAAAGATAAATTACATTTGCAGTTTTATAATCTCACAACTATCTGTTCTAAAGTACTGTCTTCCAAGCTATTTTAGTTGGTCATCTAATAAAAGCATCTTGTTTTAAGGTTACAATGATGTTTTGACCTAAGCTACCAAAAAAAAAAAAGAAAAGAAAAGAAAGAAAAAGTAAACAAACACATGCTTTTGCTGGGATTTTCCTCGTTATACAATAAGGGCACCATCTACCAACTGGTAGCAAATACATCTCATGATATTTCTTTCTTTTTCTTTTCTTCTTTTTTTTTTTTTTTTGTCATATGCCCACAAGGCAGAAAACACCCTGCTGAATGAAATCACTGGGAACATTCCAAGTTCAAAATAAAATGTTTAACTTACACATAATACAAGTTATGTACAAGATCAGGGAATTGGGGAGGGGGGATGGGGGAAGGGACCTGAACAAATCCTGGAACACGGAGATACATTTATGCATGGGAAAATGGGAGAGAACACTTCAAATACCCAACATGTTCTGTGCCATTAATTCCTTAAGGACTAAATGGCCACATTTAATTCCACATAAATGTCAGACCCTCCTGGAATACCACTATAAATACCTTTAATTAAAAAAAAAAAAAAAAAGGAAAACAAGATCATAACTACGGGACAGCGTCTGTGAACAGAGACGAAGTTCATGTACGTTGCATGTATTGCAGGCAAGGCAGAGGCATTTTTTTTTTAAAGCTTTTGCACAGACTTCATATAATCTTAAAAAAATATGTGGCCTTTACAAGATCTGACTTGCTGAAATCAAAACAATTTTGACTCATGAAAAGTCATAAGACATCAGCTTTAAAAAAAAAAAAACAAAAAACAACCAAATAAAAAGAAAAAAGAAAGAAAAAAAAAGAATAGTTCCAGCCTTAAATTTAAAAAACAAAACAAAAAAACCTGGAAGAATATGGTAATTAGATTAAACAAGTGTGGTCAGGCTTGGAACTTGAATGTACTGAAGAGTGAAAGCTCAAAAGGAGGCAGGAAGGAGAACAACCTATTTGGTAACAAAGGTGTACTAGATACTGTGATACAAAAAAAAAGGTATGGTGAAAATGTACCTTTTGCTAAAGCTTATACAAGTTCCTTGGTCCGTAAAAACTATGTTAGATTTGTTTCCTCTAGTTTGATTAACTTTTATTCCAGCCACATCTCTATTTCTTGCCCATTTAAACAAAACCAAACAAAACCCAATCAAACAAAAAACAGCTTTAAAAAAAAAAAATCAACTTCCAACAGTTTGCACATTTCCATGTTTTGCTTGTCTGTTTTACTGTGGCTTCTGCGCTTCCAATCAGCACTTGTAGGTAATGGGGTTTTGGAACAGTATCACCTGGTATGAAAAGTTTTCCCAAGAAACCACGAAAGATTGTTCATTTTTTTCCTTTTTCTTTCTCTCTCTCTCTCTCTTTTCTTTTTTTGTCAACATCTTGCAGCACTCCAGTCAGTTTAAGTCCTAGCAAAAAGACGGTAGTTAGGACACCACTGTTGCTGCAGAGGATGTGACACTGGTTGAATTTGTGCTGACATTTGTGTAACTTCCCTCGCTGTTTGTGTTTGATTCATTGGGGGGCACTTGGCTTGAATTGGCTCGAAGGATTGCTCCTGCCGCACTGCAGTGTGGCCGTGGCCCTGGTTCTGGTGTGTAGGTAAAGGTAAGGCTGGTGGAGTAAATGATTCCATCGTTACGGACCAAAGTTACTGGAACCTGGACTGGCTGTCGGACCCATCTCCAACCTTCTCGGAATGCAGAAATGTCTGGGACGACACAGAGCATACTCTCTCCACATCTGAGGGGGAAACAGAAATCACTTAGAAGCCATGTATGTTTCAGAACTAGAACTTCAAACAGGTTGCTTGCTACATTACAATCAATATCAAGAAAGAGTCTCATGTATCCACGCCCATCAAAAACTCTAGATGATGTAAGAAGTTTAAGTACCTGTACATAGTTTCAGCTTCTACATCCCCAAACCACACTCGTAAATTTGGAGTGAAATTCTGTCCTGTAAGTTCAAGCATTGCTACGTCCCCACCGCCATTCAACTGAAATTCACAGAAAATGAGAACAACTATTGAGAAAATTTTTCATTTTTCGTTAAAGTACACAGATTAGCTTTTCATTTGACTGTGATTTGTGAAAAAAAATCAATTAAACTCTTCTTTTTAAATAACATGAGGGGTGTCTGGGTGGCTTAGTCAGTTAAGATTTGCCTTTGGTTCAGGTCATGATCCCAAGGTCCTGGGATCAGGCCCCTTGTCAGGCTCCCTGCTCAGCGGGGAGCCTGCTTCTCCCTCTCCTTCTGCCCCCTCCCCCCAGCTTGTGCTCCCTGCTCTTTAACAAATAAATAAAATCTTTAAAAATAGACAAATAACAACATGATTATAAAGACAAAGTGAGCTAATCACATCTCAATGTAACATTCAAGTAGATCTAAACTTAAATTTTCTTGTATAAAAGTGTGTGTGTGTGTGTGTTTTTTTTTTTTTAAATCAACAAACAATGTATTAACATCCCCAAATCACAAGATTTGGAGAAAAATCAAATTTACTGTGAAATAAAAATCACACCTAGTCAGAGCTGGGAGCAGTTACAAAAAGCTAAAAGTCAACTTGTGAGTAAGTGGACTTACCTGAAGACTTTCTACAACAGGCACAGGGGTGACTGGGGCAAGGACAGGGCCCATCCCCTCATAAAATGTATACTCTGCCTTATCTGTACTAATGATTGTCCAGGAAGCTCCATCATTTATCATCTCTTTATTTGGTTCTTTTGGGCATGGAGTGGCCTTATGAAGAAAGAATGTTTAGAAATGGATTTTTATATACATCGCAGTATAAGACAATTTTAACAAGGTAGCACTCATATACTGGAATTAACAGGGAGAGAGTTCAGTACAAATGTATGAACTTCCCAAACACGGTGCTTTGACAGTCCCTAAATAAACACAGAATATTTAATATGGCAACCTCACATTCAGCAGTTTTTATTAGAATATGAAATATTTCAATGACATATTATATACCTTTCATAATAACCATTTGAGAGTACACCAATATCTGTATAATTTCTTTAATAAAAGATCAGTATTCGTGATGTAAATAGCTACTTAAAACTCAGATCCCTGAGAGAGAGACTAGGAGGCCCTCAACCTTAAAGAGTTAGAAACTCATGCACTTTCAGCAGTGGGGAACCGAGATGTGAACTGGCATCCCCCTACCCCTACCTTGAAACACCCAGACCAGCCCATCTGCTCTGAGCTGAGGAGAAGAATGGCTGCACATGGCCTCCAGATGTTTACAAATGAGTTTCACATGAAAGATTAACTATCCTATGAAATCATCTGCCCATGTCATAGATGTCCTCATGAAAGACTTCTGAGTGAATGTAGTGAAAAATCAGCTTTCGAAACATCTTGTCATTAGTATCTAGGAAGACCCCAATGTAAATCGGATAATTCTGAACCCTCCCTCAAAACATGCATGTATCTATCTACAATGTCTTCATGCAGTTTCAGGGGATTCACCAACACCCAAAATCTACCTCTGGAAGATCTAAGGAACTTTTCGATTCCCAAACCTAGATGGTCAAGAACACTTTTATAGTTCCGAGTTCTTCCTTGAGGTATAGTGACTGCCATGTCTCAGGATCATGTACGTTAAGAACCTTTGGACTTGAGATAAATATCTGAAAACAGCTTCACGTACTTGGGCACAATTAACATTAAACAAGTTTTAGGTCTCTATGCTGCTAACCGAAAGATGGCACATTTTTACCAGTAATTTTAAAACATACCTGAAACTGGATTATTCTTTCTTGAGAAAGGCACAAGTACATTCTTTCTGTATCCTTAAGGTAAAATGCACATTTATGGAGTTGTGACACAGGGTCATCTGCATCCAGTAATGCGGTCTGCTTATCAACCTTCCTAATTATCTGCATTTCAATAATTAGAAAAGAAGAGGTCATCACATGTGGAGAAACATTGAGAAGCAATAAGGCGAGGTGTAAAAATACTTTCAGATCACAAGCCTGGTAGAATGTGGAAGCTGTTACCATCTTCCATGAACACCTGAAAAACAGGGCGGGCAGATACTTGTTTTCCAGATCACTGCTTTTCGAACTCTGATGTGCATACAAATCATCTGGTCTTGTTCGAATACCACAGATCTCATAGGGGCCTAACAGTCTGCATTTCTAACAAACTGACAGCTGATGTTAATCCTACTGGCCAATGGACCATATTTTGTGCAGCAAATTCAGTTGACTTTTCCAATAATATATAATGACATCAAAGGAAAAACTGTCTCTAAAGACCACTGTGAGTATGCTAGTCAGTGCAGTCCATCAGCTAATGATCTGTTTTAAAAACCTAAAGTATCGGGGCGCCTGGGTGGCTCAGTGGGTTAAAGCCTCTGCCTTCGGCTCAGGTCATGATCCCAGAGTCCTGGGATCGAACCCCACATCGGGCTCTCTGCTCAGCAGGGAGCCTGCTTTCTCCTCTCTCTCCCTCTGCCTGCCTCTCTGCCTATTGTGATCTCTGTCTGTCAAATAAATAAATAAATAAATAAAAATCTTAAAAAAAAACCAAAAAAACAAAAAAACCCTAAAGTATCATTTTCCAGATTAGGAAGTGGGCTCAGAAAAGTCAGGTAACTTGCTCATATCACCTGGCTAGAAGCTGAAGGACCAGAGTGTGATTCCATGGCTGGATGGCTGGCACAAAAAGCATATAGATACCTGAAAGAGAATCCTATCAAGTCTGAGATGCCACTTAGTCCACAGAAGGTAATCACTAAGTGTTTGATGATTATGAAGATGATCACTCCCCAAAGCATACAAATATGTTATAGAACTATTTCTCATCTAAAATCTAAAGTAAAGAAAATTCTTCCTTGACTACGTGTCCCTCTCTCCCACTCTCCACTCCATTTCTTAGCTCCCCTTTATGGCAACCTCTTCTTCCTCCTCACTGTCTAATCTCCTGAAGTAAACTCCAGCTTTCTGTCTCAAAGTCCCCACAACTGCCCTTGTCGAGGGCCACCAAGAACTTCTGGAGAGATCAATCTGTGGGCATCAGGAGGCATGTCCTCACATTACTAGCTTTCTCATAAGCACTAACAAAAACATCCTCCTTTTGGGGTCCGACCTACTCTAACTGGCCTTCAGAGTGTACCGGAGCCGAGTCCTCGGACCCCTTCTCCTCTCCAACCTCCTTCCATTCTGTACTATTTAGAGGTTGGCAACTCCTAAAGTTGTATCTCCAGCCCTAACTTCTCTCCTACGGCATTCAACTTGTACATTTAACTACTGACTCAACAGTTCCACTTAAGATGTTTAATAGGCAGGGCGCCTGGGTGGCTCAGGGGATTAAGCCTCTGCCTTTGGCTCAGGTCATGATCTCAGGGTCCTGGGATCAAGCCCCACATCGGACTCTCTGCTCAGCATAGAGCCTGCTTCCCCCACTCTCTCTGCCTACTTGTGATCTCTCTCTCTGTCAAGTAAATAAATAAAATCTTAAAAAAAAAAAAAAAGATGTTTAATAGGCTACCTCAATCTTCATCAAAACCCAGATTTTTGTGACACCTGGATGGCTCAGTCAATTAAGTGTCTGCCTTCAGCTCAGGACATGATCTCAGGGTCCTGGGATCAAGTCCCACATTAGGCTCCTTGCTCAGCAGGGAGCCTGCTTCTCCCTCTCTCTCTGCATGCCACCCCCCCCCCCCCTTGTGCTCTCTTCTACCTGACAAATAAATAAATAAAATGTTTAAAAAAAATAAAGTATCAACCCCCCCCCCCCCCCGATTTTAAATTTCCTTCTACGAGTGATCCTCCTCTAACTCACAGCTCAATAAACAGCATCACCATTCACTCAATCCCAAAACTCTGGAGTCACCCTTGACTCCTTGTTTTCTCCTACACCCAATCTTCCAATCTGTCAACAAATTCTATTAGGTCTCCTCTCACACAAATCTGTCATCTCTCATCACCTCACCACTACAATCCTGGTCTAAGATGCCACCATCAACCATCAACGCTGGCTTGAGTTACAACAGAATCCCAAGCTCTGTCTCTCTGCTCCCACTGCTACACCCCATGTTCTCTTCACAGAGCAGCCGCAATTACCCTTCTAAACATAAACAGCCATCATGCCCTGTTTAATACCCTCCAGTGTCCTCCTACCATATGTAGACAATATCTTAATTCTTGTCGCTCGCTCCCTCCATTCCTCCCCTGGCTTAGGCTACCATGGCTTCTTTATTACTTCTTTATTATTTGTCTCATATTCTCTCCTAAGCTCTTTCTGTGCTCATGCTGTTTGTCTGAAATGTTCTTCACAGTTCGTAGTTCCCAACTTCATTCTGGTCTCTGTTCAAATATCCCCACTGCAAAGATTTCTCTGACCCCTCAAAGCACTCCCAGTCTCTTTTTATCCTGTTTTAGCTTATTTTCTTATCATCTGTTTTAACCTTTAATATGTTAATATGGGTATTTCTTTAGCTGATTTTTGTCCATCTCCCTAACAAAATATAAGCTCCATGAGGACAGAAAGCCTATCTTGCTCACCAATGTATCTCTAGCATCTAGACAATGTCTGGTACATGGAAGACTCAGGACTATTTGTAGGATGCATGTATGCACACAGGACTGCAATACTTTGCTTCACAGTGAATATCCTTAAAAGGAACTACTCAGTTTTATTAGGATTAAATCACTACATGTGAAAGTACTTAGAATAGTACTATTAGTATCATGCAATATTGTTGGCTTTACTACTTTACATCTCAGTATTCAAACTTTTCTTTAAGACACAATTGTATAACAGTTCCAATCTTTCTGAAGTTAACATTTTTTTTTTTAAAGATTTTATTTATTTTTTTGACAGAGAGAGATCACAAGTAGACAGAGAGGCAGGCAGAGAGAGAGAGGGAAGCAGGCTCCCCGCTGAGCAGAGAGCCCAATGCGGGACTCAATCCCAGGACCCCGAGATCATGACCTGAGCCAAAGGCAGCAGTTTAACCCACTGAGCCACCCAGGCGCCCCTGAAGTTAATATTTTTTGTCATTTACATTTTTTAGCTCTGCTGGTTATTAGTCAGAATATTTGCCATTCCACTAACACCACACCAATTTCTGAGTTTAAAGGGAGACAGTACACTTTTAGCAATATAACTTCTAACATAGTCTACGAGACTGACTAATCTCAAGCAAAATGTTTCAATTCAATGCCAAAGTCTTCGAGCTACATTTAAATTTGATGAGGTTTGGATTTAAGAGAAATCAATGACTTCTAAATGATGTAAGTCTAGAGCTTCCTCTAAGTCTACTCATGCTTCCCCATCATTTAAGAGTCAAAATTTGCCTAGATTACTGTTATTTGTATATTCCACTGTTTCTCCACTAGCTAAGAATAAGCACATTGAGAACATGAGACATGTCTGATTCAATTTTATTCCCCATACGAGTTCTTTGGAAATAGACACTGCTGAATGACCTCTCACCAGTAAAGAAACCAAAGATGTTCACTAGTATTTGGCATCAAAAACTTGCTCTGGTCACTTCTAATTATTGAGAAAAGGTAAGAAATCTGATAACAGGTAGTGCAAACATTATACCTTAAGGTATGTGTCTGGTGAATTCTACATTCATTAAACATCAGGGATTACCCCAACTGGTGTTCTCTCCTCTATCCTGGCTTTGTAGCTTGTTGGTACAGTATTTACCATATTTCTGAGATAAGCTGGATATACAGCCCAACACCATGTCCCCCCAACTTGACCCTGAATCAGGGCTACTCATAAATCCCCTCTATCTTAATTAAATTGTACTCTTATTTTCATTTTACTAAGAAATGCAATTTTTAGTTTTAAAGTCATCCTAGTGAACAAAAAGCCCTAAACACCATGCCTCTCTCAGAGTATGAAATGACAATTTAATTTTCAATAAATTTATATTCTTGTGGGAAAGTAAACTAATAAAAACTATGCTTGTATTTTTTAAAGAAGTAAGAATTTCTATGCTTCTAAAACTTGGTCCTGTGGTGAGATACAGCAGGTACCAGAGAAAATGATTAGGGTATCTGTATTAGTTAAGGAAAGAAATCATAATGTAATTATTTAGTGCCCTCTATTGAACATGTTCAGATATACAACCAAAAAGGAAAACTCCACCAAAATTTAGAGAGAGTGTAACAGAAAGTCATCAAGAATGCAGTCATAAAAACGGCTAACTGCCTTAAATCAATAAAGTGGTTAATATAATTGTAAATAAAGAATAGCAGTGATTATTGATAAGTGTTCTTAAATTAAAAAGCATGAACCTGAAATGTATTTTTACATTTGAATGCTGTATCTTTTATTTTTACTACACATATGACTAAAGCAAAAGTAGAGCCATACCAGTCTTGGGAGTGCCATGCCAGTAACGGAGCACACAAGTTTGACTGTTTGTCCGTAGTGGATGTAGCCATCGCGAACTGTGAATTCTTCTCCTTCTGATTCATCATCATCCACTATGGTGGAGTGAATAAAGAGATTAAATTATTACCTTATAGAATTCATTAATCTACTTAGGAAAACAACAAAACTAATACAGCTGTATGTCTTTTTATCAAAGAATTTAAAAATTTCACACTAAAAATATCAAATACACATTTTTGTACTCACAGAGATGAATGTAAAACGCTCCCCACTGCTGAGAACTGGCATGGAAATTACCTCCTTCTACATGCAAGTATCTGGTACTAACTGTCTGGGATCGAAGTCGATTAAACAGAGCCACCTTTGTTCCTGAGGCAATGCATACTGCAAAGAAAAAAGAGCTTCTATTTAGGTGACTGGGGGGAAGGGACCTGTACTTGGCAAGTTATGATTATTCTTCATTATAACTTAATAATTAACAGATTCTACTAACAAATTGATACCCTAAGGGGAAAAAAAAAGTCAAGGTAACTCTCATTAATAATGTCATGCTAAAGATATAAGATATGTCCATAAATAATTTTTAAATGAGAGCTACACAGTATGTTTCACGCAATGCTGTTCAGCAAAGGGAAATAATTTTTTAAATGATAAATATCCAATAGTAGGAAATTGAGTAAATAAATTATAATGTCATTTACCTACTTGAATAATGTGTACCTCAATGCACCAATAAAGAAAGTATCTCCCTAGAAGACCAGAGAATGGAAAAGCAGACCATAAAATCCTCTGTATACTGCGATCCCATGACCTGAGCCAAAGACAGATGCTTAACCAACTGACCTACCCAGGTTCCCCAAGATTAAGAAATTTTATTTTTTTATAGTTTTTTATAACATATTTGTTTTTATGTGATCATGGTATTGTAATTATATTAAATAAACAAAAGCCCCTCTCTATCAGAGATACATATTTGCAGATGATGTCTGGATTTGGATCAAACTAAAATGAGGCAGAGGAAAGCAGGGTAGGAGATGGGTACAGGTGAAATAAAACTGGCCTGCAGTTAAGATCATTGCTGAAGTCAGATGATAAACACAAGAGGTTTCATGTAATTATGCAACTGTCTAAGATGTTCGAAAATTTCTGTAATATAAAGTAAATGATTATAGTAATAATGACTGAGAAAATGAAAACCAACCAATACATAAAAACCCATTAAGTTCATAGTAAAACAAAATGAAACAAAAGAAAAGCAATCAAACCAAACAAAACTCCTAACACCTCACTGGGCACTTTCAAAGAATACTATTGTTATTCTGTAAATTAGTAAACAAGCATTTATCCTGCCTTTCCTCTGCAGACTACATTTGAAACAAACTGCTAACAAATTAAGAGTAAAAGAATCAGAAAAAGCCCTTCATAAAATACTGGATTGAAGCAGCCATTATCAATGGTTAAGGTTGCTGGGGAACTCTGTAATAGATGGATTAAGCTAACAGCTTAATTTACTATAAATCATCTTAATAGGACAAGAAGTAGGATGATCAGACATCATAGGACTTCTGATTTGAAGGAAACGAACATATAGAGGACCAGCTAATTCTAAAGTCTTTAAATTTAACCATCAGTTTATTGAAAATATGAAAGAGGCACATGTAATCAGCCAGATTCAGAATATGTAAATTCCGAAGGAAAAATGACCCCCTTTCTTCAACAAATGACATGGAAGAAAGGTTGGAGGGGGAGAGAATACACTGTCACACATTAAAATGTATCGATCTTATTTGGATCCAAGTTTGAACAGGCCAAATGCTAAGAAAAAAAACCCACAAACACGCAACTGTAATAAATCTGCACATGGACTGGCTTTCAGATGGCATTAAAGAACTACTTCAACTTTTTTAGGCATACTAATGTTTAAAAAGAAAGCTATCTGTTAAGAATCACTACTGCAGAAATGGTGGTTGAAACAACAGGATATCTGAGATTTCCATTAAAATATTCCAGCCATCAATGGAAGGAAGAGGCTATGGAAATAATAAAGAGAACCGGCAAAACCTGTTGAGGCCAGGTGCATGGTCACTTGGTGTAAAAGGGAGAAAGTAGTAGCAATTTGAAACTTTTCATCATAAAAAGTTAGAACTAAAAAAAAGAAAATGGCATGTAAGAGTTGAAATGCAGAATTTAATCAGACAGCATTTGTATGTGGTAGTCTAAAAATCTGCTCATAAGCAGGAGTCTTTGCCAGAGAACCATGTTAAAAGTTTTGTTTTGGTTTGCAGGATGGCCTTCCAAAGCCGATTTGAGAACAGTGTCTCTCAAAGAGGAGCTTTTGACAGTCTTGGTGGATCAATTCTCCATGGAATGAGAGAACATTTAGCATCACTGGCCCAACACACCCAGTGCCACCATCAATCACTCCCTGCAGTCACTGACAGCAAAAGGAAAAAACTCCCATTTTTCCCTATGTCTCTGTGGAGCAGTGAAGAACCCAGTCTGGTTGGGAACTATTTCCCTAGACCAGGTCTTGTTCACTTCAATTAAAAAAAGAAAAAGGAAAAAACAAACAAAGAAACAAAAAGGAAGTCTATAAAGTAGCAAAAATACATGAGTGTGACAGTTTCTGATAAAGCAAGGGCCACAAAAACATTAGTAAAAATGAACTTGCTCTCAAAAAGTGATTTTTTTTTTAACTAAAAAAAAAAATAGCTGAATCTGTCTTATTAATTTATGATGGGAATTGGTGGCAAAAAAGAAAACTCAAGCATACATACAGTCAGCATTTTTCAATGACTGCTTCTTTTTGGAAGGTTTGGAAATGACTTTTATCCGCTTGCTGAGGAACACACCGATGTCATCGCTGTTGCCGTAGAACATCTTTACAGACAACATGAAGTGCTTTCTCTTGTCTGAGTCAGATATGTACAATGTTTTGGCTGTGCAATAGTTCTGTGAAAAAAAAGTAAAGCTTCAATAGCACCAAAACCTTGTTGGTTACATACTTACATCTTAGTATGGCCAAGACTAAGTTTTCAATGAATGAATTCAATGAATAACTGATAAAACCAACTTTAACAATCACTGAAAGACGAAGTACAGTCTGTCGTCTTTATCAAGTCTGTCAAATACTAATGTTGTGATCCATTTTACCCTAAGATTGTTTCAAAACACAGTTTTTTCTTATTTTATATAGCTCTATGCCTTTATCACAGAATTACCAATGCTACAGCAGTAAATATTTAAAATAGAATTTTATAGTTAAAATAGTCCATGACTGTATTTCTGCAAAGAAAACATACAAATAAGGCTATCAGAATTCAACAAAATTCTGTAAAAGATTTTAGCACTGGTCCTTATGAAAACAGTACATACAGTATTTTTCTTTATATAGCTGAACACTAGAGCAACCGCTTTTAAGTCTGACGAAATGTCAGACTAACTGGATAATTATAAAATATTTTATGCCAGAAAGGGATAGAAGCATACTTTAAAGAACTTCTTATTAAAAGAAACGGCTGACTTTGCCTGTGGGGTAATTCATATTACAGCATCAAAATAACTGGACTAAGGGAGTGCCCGGCTGGCTCAGTCAGAGGAGTGTGCAACTCCTGATCTCAGGGTTGTGAGATCAACATGAGATCAAGCTCCATACTGGGGGCAGTGTTTACTCAACAAACAGACAAAAACAAAAACAAAAAAACTGGATTGAAAGTTAACAGAGAAAACAAATGCAGCAAATTATGATGCCAGTTTACCAGAAAATAAATTCTGATAACTAAAAAGACAGAATTATATACAGTTATTATATTATATATATTATATACAGAGGTATAGCACTGGCTAAAGACACTCTCGATGCAACCATCTCAAATATATGTGACAATTCTAAAATCTTTCCTACTCCCCTGATCTGTATGAATTAGGCAAGGAACTAAATTACTGATCTCTTTTTCCAGACTGGGTAAACGATGCTCAAAACACAGCTTAAGTATTTAAAATATCTATTATATTTTTTAAAAGATCAATGCTGTACCTTAAAATTAGGCTAAAGAAGTTTCTTTGACAACGTCTAGTCTGTGTTTATTCTAAAAATCAGGAAAAGTGCCACTCATTTATGAAACAGCTAATGTAGTCTAGCTTTTAAATTTTTTAAAAATTGTAATCACAGGGGCGCCTGGGTGGCTCAGTGGAGTTAAGCCTCTGCCTTCAGCTCAGGTCACGATCTCAGGGTCCTGGGATCGAGCCCCGCGAGCCCCCGCGCTGGGCTCTCTGCTCGGCAGGGAGCCTGCTTCCCTTCCTCTCTCTGCCTGCCTCTCTGCCTACTTGTGATCTCTCTCTGTCAAATAAATAAATAAAATCTTAAAAAAAAAAAAAAGTAAAATAAAATTGTAATCACGGGCAATTTTAGTAGCAGAACAAAAATAATACCGCAGTTTATTTCATTTCTCAATAGCAAAGTTACATAAGAAAACGTAGTTGCCATGTGAATATTTTACACTCAAATTAAGTTTTCATAAATTCAGAAGTGTGGTAAAAGCTTTGAGAAGCTTTGTTCTGCAGAAAACAAAATTAAGATAAAGTTAGTAAAAAGAAAAATAAAAACAGTACTTCGCACTCATACAGCGCCTTCTCAGGGATCTCTAAGTGCTCGGAGATGCTATGGCAGGACCTACAGGTCTGCCATACAATAAAAGGCACTGAAGGTTAGATTAAGCCTGAACTATGGAATTGTTCTGCACCATAAAAGACAAAGTCTAGGAAAATAGATTATCAACATACTAAAGCAGATAGTTATAGGCAGCAAAAATGAAATGTGCATCTAAATGAAGATAGTTAAATTCTCATGGGAAAAAGACTTTCACACAAAAGGTTTTATTTTGTTTGGAAAAAGCGAACACATATATAACCCTTTGAAAAAAAGGAAAACGTATCCCTATTTTTTACAAAAGTGAGCAGTCTGAATCCACAAAAAAAAAAAAATCATACCTGGGATAACTTTATCAGAACAACTATCTTAAAAAAAAAAAACTGTAAGACCACTGCCCACAAACTACTCAAATCCCATTAAAAAGGAGGGAAGGGGAGTCACTCCTCAAAAAAAAGTATTACGGCTTTAGGAAAACAAAGTAAAGTTTAAAGTTACATTTGTCATACTAAAAGGCTAGATTAGTTAACAAAATTCTAGAATAGAAAATGGCATAAAATAAACCTTTCTATAAATAATAAACAATTTAACTTAAGAACAACTGTTGAAAGACAAGATCTTCAGACCATAGTAAAAATATTTGCCCTGAAATGAGAAATACCAGATATAATACTACAAAAGTACTATAGAAATGTATGAATTATACAAACAGTGCTAGCAAGAGAGGTGTAGGGGATGTAATTTTTTGAAAGTAAGAAAAACACAAATGGGCTAAGTAGGGTTGAATTCATATTGTATAGCTTACCTAGTTCCAACTACGTAAGATACAAAATTGAGGAAATGAACATTTAACAAATTTCAAACATGATTAAGTGAAATCTCGGATCCAAAATATTATCAACACAGAGTCAAATGTCATAATCATATTTAATGCTACATATACCAGAACTTTACTATAATGAGTATTAAGTACAAATACCCAATAGTGCAAAACAAATATCCCTTCTTTTTGAATAATGACTAACTGAACCATTCAATGAGCAGACTATTGAAAAGAGAAGAGTATTACCTTAAATGAGTTGAGGTGAAGAGAGACAGCAAGAGCAAAGGGCCTCTCTCTGAAGCTCAGTGTCACACTGTTCAGGCCATCTTTGCCTACCTGGGCCCACACCTACCACGTTCATATACCTTTAGGCTCCAAGCATATAGGATGTTCCTTCCACCTGGAATGCCTTCTGCTGACTCTCAACAAGTCTTATTTTATATAAAGTAAGTAAGACTTCTCTAATAGCATTTTTCATTAAAACTAATATTCACAGGTAAATGTGGCTTAGAGACATTATGCCACCCCATTAGTAGATGCTTTAAATACTAGTTAATATCAGGCTTTCAGGTATTTTTTTCATCTTGTGTGAATTTTTAGGGCTTGGAGAAAGAATATAGTGGTGTAAGTTGAAGAAAGATCTACCGAACCATGGTGCTGGAAAAGGCAAATGGGGTGTGTTTGTTTGGTATTACTTCCCCTAAAATGCTGGAAGCTGGAATTGGTTAAAGCAGGCAATGAAGTTCAGTTAACAGTCATATACACTGGTAGCTACAATCCCTGTCTTCTCACTCCCTGCCTAAGTAGTCACTTCATAGCACCATGTATCTAAATGCACAGCCTGGAGACGTGTAACTGAGAGTTTCTAAAGAACAGGAAAATAGGTGAGACACAGCTAAGGCCTATCGGATCAGCCTACCACTTAAATACATACTTTGCGGCTCAAGGGTCATAACTTAGAAATATTTCTTACGGCTCTATTTTCTTTTTAAAATGAAACCACCTTTATTGTAATGTTTTACTGCAAACCTAATTAAAAAATACCTAAGTGACAAGGCTTACCGGCAAAAATTATAAAGATACAAATGTCATAAAAATATTTGAAGGTGGCTGTTATTAAGGCTTCCTGATGCGCGTTCTGCGTATTATCTGTAAAATGACTAAAACTGAACTGGAGTGTACAAATCTCCTAGCTCCTCACAATGTTACCCACCAGTCCCATCCATACTGCCAACTGCAACACGGCAAACGCTAAGATATTCAGTGAGGACTTACTGAATGCGGAAACAGCTTCCTACATACTGTTTTAAGACATTCATGTGATCGTTGAGAACTATTTTTCAAATTTTAATATCAAGGGAAAACAAAATAATAGTTAAATGCTAAGTCATTAAGAACTATTTCTGAACACTAAAGGTATAGACTGAAACGATTACTTTCTAATTTCATAAAATATAATTAGTAAAACTAATACATAAATTCCATTCCCTAACAAATTAAAGAAAACCCCTAAAAGTTTGAATCAAGCTTATTGTGGCTGTTCTTATCTATTGTAGTTTTGCTCTACACAGAAGCTAAGTAAAACATTTATGATCTTTATAAACACAGATAAATACTTCTAAGAATTAATCTCTATCACTTTGCTTCTCGTATAAGACTAAGATTAAGAGAGAATAAAATATTATTGAGCTATGTATTTTCACTGTTTGTTGAATATCAGGTCTCCTCCCTGTCAGTCACATGACAGGTAAGCCTCCTTAATTTTTTTTATTGGCTTCCAATGGAAACCTGATTTATAGCCTACTAAAACTGCCCCCAAGCTGTGGAAGCTTACTATGGGCTACCTTTAGATGTCCACAGCTCACGACTAGCCCACAGCTATTTGAGAAGTTTATCTCTGGTGGGTGGTGTTTCAGAAAATCACTACAGAAAGCCATAAAAGAAAAAAAATCATCACCACGAAAACAAATAAGGAAACTACACACGCTGGTACCACGGTGCCATTTAAGACAAACAACGTAGTTTTAATTTACCTTTCCTTCCAAGTTCAGCTGCTGCATTTCTTGGTCACTATTTCCTATTCCAATAAATGCACATGGTTGAGACTCTTGTTCAGAACAACCATCCCGTTCCATTTGTTCTTTTTTTTTCTTCCATCCACTGCCCATAAGATACACACAAGGAGGAGGGCAAAAAAACCTGAACCAATGGGGGAAACACACACATATACATACCACACAAATACAAAAACAAACAATGCTATTAGATTTAAGAAAGCATTTCTTTTCTTCGAACATATGAATACAAAATTATACTGAACTGCGTTAAATAATCTCCTAATGAAACATTCTAGTGAAGCCTTCTGTGATGCAAATAGTCATGTCCGGAGCGCAGAAATCAAGGCTTTCACAAAGACCACACTTGTTCAGTGTAGGTCTGTCTATACTCAAATTATGCACTCAATTACAACAGATACTTCTTTGAGCAGGGAGCATTCCTTTCATTTTAATGGAGCTCAGAATTCTGAACTATTGGAATTCAGTAAATCCAACAAAGTCTAAAGGGTTGCAGAAGATGATACACCACGAAAGAATCTGCAATTATTACTTAAGATCTATTTAAAATGACATATTATTAATTGATGGCATTATAGTTACGGCTATTACACTTAACTTCATTTGGTAATTAACCTGGAAAAAAGAATTAGAGCAACATCCAAAGTAGAAACTTCCAAAATAATAATAAAAGTAGAAGAATTAAAAGGAAAATGGACACTGAATTCCTATGTTTTATGTATTTTATACCCTGAACACCTGGTGCAAGTGAATGACTGAAAGAACAATGCACTGTGCCCTTTCACCTCACATTACCAACGGATTTGTTTTGCTAGCTGCCCAAAGCCTGCCTTCAAAAATTCTTCCCACCTAGATTAACTTCCTTATACAGTTGACCCTTGAACACTCTGGGGGTCGGGGTGCCAACTCTGTATGCAGTTAAAAAAATCCATGTCTAACTTCTGACTCTCCCAAAACTTTACTAATAGCCTACTGTTGACCAGGAAGCCTTACCGTTAACATAAAGTCAACACATATTTTGAATGTTATATGTATTATATACTGTATTCTTACAATAAAGCTAGACCAAAGAAAGTATTACTAAGAAAAATCTTAAGAAAAAAATACATTTGGGATGCCTGGGTGGCTCAGTGGGTTAAGCCGCTGCCTCCGGCTCAGGTCATGATCCCGGGGTCCTGGGATAGAGCCCCGCACTGGGCTCCTTGCTCAGCGGGGAGCCTGCGTCTTTCGCCGCCTCTGCCTGCCTCTCTGCCTGCGTGTACTTTCTCTCTCTCTGGCAAATAAATAAAATCTTTAAAAAAAGAAAAAAAATCATTCGTAAGACTATACCATATTAACTATATTAACTGAAAAAAATCTGCATAGAAGTAGAGCCTGAAGATTGAACCTGTGCCATGCAGGAGACAACGGCTATCTCATTTCTAGCAATTAAGAAAAGTCTACTTCAGAGCCTAGGTCAAGCCCCTTCTTTTACAGTTTAGACTACCAATCCAGTCCTTATGGAGAGCATAACTTGCTTTTTGCTCAGTTATACACACTGGTTTATGTACACTTTAAAACATTTACACCATGTCTTATCCAGGGGCTCAAAAACTCAAATACATACTCAAATAGTAGCTAAGTAAACTCAAATAGTAGCCAAGTAAGAAATTTAGTGGGTGAACCAGGTGCACAGTAAGTAAGTTGGAATATCATGTAATTACTCAAAGAAGTAGGTTCCCTCCTTTCTTCAAACACACAGCCCTCACGGTAATTCCCACTTGCTGTATAGTTATGAATAAAGGAAAATTTTTCTTAATTCTTTTAAGCCCACTCTAAGAAAAAGAGGATCTTAAACGCAATGACAATCAGCCACTGGTGTGTGACTTGGATGATAGATACTAAGGCACAACAGAGACTAGCAAGCCTGTGAGTACACACCCTCTCAATCACTTTGCCAAACTACCTGCATGTGGGCCTCGAGTCACATCCTCCAACTGTTCAACATATGCTTGAAATCGAATTTTAGATGAGATTCCCAATTTTAAAAATTTAGTGACGAATTTATGCTTTTTAACATTTTGCAGGCCAACAGCACACAGGCTTAAGAAAACAACAACAAAAAATGTGTACACGTGCCTACTTGTGCATATGTGACACATGGACAACACCAGGCTAGATCTGGCCTCAGCCCTTCCTAAACGTAGTTAGTATCTCCTTCTTGTTTGCTTTCTCCCCTTAGTACCTACTACAATACTGACTGAATCGAATCAAAATTAAATAATATCCACTTTTTGCTCAACTCTAAAGACTACTTTAGGAGCAATTTATATTAATTTATAAGAAGTGAGCTGGGTTTATGTAATATTCATTAATTCACTAAATTATTACATCCCTGGTCTGTATTCCTACTGTATCAGGCACTGGGAATATAGTAGGGGGAAAAAAAATTCCTGTCTTGGTGGAATTCACACTCTAATAGGCGTGACAATTAAAAAAAACCTTAACGTGTAAAATGGCTTATATATTCTGTTAGCTGGTGATAAACACTGAGGGAAAAAATTAAGCAGGTAAGGGGTACTTAAAATGTAGAAGGCCTGGGTGGCCATGGAAAGCTTCCTTAAAAAGGTGACCCTGAGTCACAATCTAAAACCACGGGTAGCTGTGTGGGAGCATTTCAGCTGAGACAAGAGCAAGTGGAAAAGCTCTAAAGTAGGAAGGACTAAAATGGACCGTGTCTAAACAAACACAGAGCAGTGTAGCTGTAGCTGAGAAGAGAAGATGAAGCCTGGATAATGGGGAAGTAGACCAAGTAGGGCCTGGAGGTCAAGCTGAGTAAGGAGGGAAGCCTTTCAAGTCTTCCCATATTTATCTAAATCAGTAAAAAGGAAGCAGAGCCGCTTTCATGCCTGCATACTCTCACTGTGGCCATGGACACAGAGGTCACAGCCGAGGTAGTGGGCTCAGCTCCAGGTCACTCCAAGTTTGGAGGGATGCCTGGATTAGCCGACTAGTTCAGGAGTTGGCTCAATTCAAGTCTACACCAGGGATCTTTCTGACCTCTAATGCTGGGAGCCACCCAACGCTTACTATGGCACAGACTCAAATACCTAGCTGGCACACTACCGGGAGTTGAGAAGGAATCAATTTAGGAAACTTGTCTCCTATTAGTGTTTTCTATTGAACACGGATATTAAGACTCCTTAGCAAACTGACCAGCTATAAAATTCAAAGAGCGGTGCTTTAGTAAAGTGTACCAGATGTGGAATTCAAATCTCAAGTTATCATAAAAGATAACTTTTAGGGGCACCTGGGTGGCTCAGTGGGTTAAGCCTCTGGCTTCGGTTCAGGTCATGATCTCAGGATCCTGGGATTGAGCTCCGCATCTGGCTCTCTGCTCGGTGGGGAGCCTGCTTCCCCCTCCCCCTCTGCCTGCCTCTCTGCCTGCTTGTGATCTCTGTCAAATAAATAAACAAAATCTTAAAAAAAATTTTTTTAAAGGATACTTTTATTTCATATTTGAAAAATATAAAGAGGGCTAAAACTGTACAAGATTGGGTAGTGCTGGTTTTCTCAAGAGTACTGTGATAAAATGGCATAAACAAGGTATAAAATTAGGATGACAAGCTATTTATCACTTAAAACTCGGACCAAGATTCTATATTGTAAGTGCTTTCCAATCATGTAATAAATAAGAAAAAAAAGAAGACTCTTCACAAACGCCTCTAAACTAGCCTTGTTTATCAACTCTATAATTCAAAGAAGTCATGATATAAGAAAACAACAAATCCGGGGCGCCTGGGTGGCTCAGTGGTTAAAGCCTCTGCCTTCGGCTCAGGTCATGATCTCAGGGTCCTGGGATCGAGTCCCACATCAGGCTCTCTGCTCAGCAGGGAGCCTGCCTCCTCCTGTCTCTCTCTGCCTGCCTCTCTGCCTACTTGTGATCTGTCAAATAAATTAAAAAAAAAAATCTTAAAAAAAAAAAAAAAGAAAACAACAAATCCAATACGATCTAAACAGAGACTATTTCTATATAATGTGTTGATGAAATTATATTTTAAACAGCCCAATATTGCCACCCCTTAGGAAACAGCTAATGAGCCAGGTTTGTATTTCTAGACCTCAGTAGTAATATCATCAAATAGAAGATAAGCATAAACACAACAAAAGAACACAGACAAAAGAAAGGAAATTAAAGGGAGTGAGGATTAAAAAAAAAGCCACCTAATTAACAGAAGAAAAATTAAAATACACCTTATAATGCCGTGTGCGATCAATGATTTTTTGAATCTGGGCAACTGGTCAATACATACCAAACACACAGTGAAAAGTTTGACTACCAAGTGGCCAGCTCCCAGAGTTTAGCAGCTGCTATAAAAGATTACGCTATGAAACAACGTGCCTTGATTTTCTAGTATTTCCTATGGCTCTTAACTAGCAACTATGACAAACAATGCTGTCCTTCTGCCACTTGGTGGCAATATGCACACATTTACAATGTTATTCATTTCCTAGTTTAAACAATCAGTCTTTATTTTCAAAGAATGATTCAAGAACTTTTTCCTCAAACCCTGAGATGAGGTCTGGAAAATACCTTACAGACTCAAAGAAGCCTTTTTAGTCAGCCCAATATACAAAATAGGTTAGGTTAGACAAAATCCAAACATCATTTACGTTATCTGACCTTTGCAGAATCATTATCCTTTGATAATTATTCAATCCAAAAGCACCAAAATAGAAACTTTTTTGCACACCAAAGTTACCTCAATTAACACGCATTCTCAGTATGACTTGAGGAGCATCACCTCATTGTCTACATGGTTTTACTGTTGCCTCAACAGTATCTCTACCACCTCCATTACTGCTTAAAGACTTCCGCTGACACAAAGTTGAAGGAACACTAATACGTCAACTGTAGTTTCCCCCCCTTTAATGAAAATTTTCCTCTAGACAAAACCATCTTTTTAAAAGTCCATTTTTTAAAACCTAGAATAACCTTCTTTAATGAAAAAGTAAAACTAATCACTAACATCAGTGGGATAAAAAAAATAAAGATTCGTTATTAGGCACCAAAGTTATTATCAAGGACAATTTAAAATTTGAGGATCAATTTTCCTGACCTAGTATTTCTAGCATCATTCTCTGGAGTTATTTTATATGCCAAGAAGACTGTGGTCATGTCCCCAGGTTACCTTGTGCTTAATGCCTTAGTAGCTTTTCAGAAAGGCCTGAATCTGGATCAACAAGAAAGTTGGCAGATCTTACTCTTTCCACCATGTACGCCACCAGTGAGTAAAGGGCCAGACTTCATCCAGGAGGCTGGAACCTCATGAGCAGTCCCTTATTGCTAATCCTTTTTAAAAACCAAGTAATTCTAACAGGTTTCCATCTTTGTATGTAAAATGAATCCATGTCTACTCTGAAATTTTAATAATAAAAAATTTCATTTAATAATTTAATAATACAAACATATAAAAAATAAAGGAAAATAGTTACTCTGGCCTTTTCATTATTATGTCTTCAGTCTTTGGAAGCTAGACGCTTAGATTCTTCAAGCTCTCCTTTATCTCCTGTTTTAGACAGGCCAGACCATACCCAAATAAAGAGGAGCTGAAAAGGAAGGCAATCACAATGAAGGGTAACCTTTAAATCACCTACTTGAGGAGCCACTACAGCTTTGTACTCACTTCTTTTCTTTTCTTTTTTAAAGATTTTATTTATTTGACAGAGAGAGAGAGAGAGAGAGAGAGAGAGGGAGAACATGTAGGCTGACTGGCAGGCAGATGGAGAGGGAGAGGGAGAAGCAGACTGTCCGCTGAGCAGGGAGCCTGATGTGGAGCTAAATTCCAAGACCCCTAGGATCATGACCTGAGCTGAAGGCATTGGCTTAACCAACTGAGCCACCCAGGTGTCCCTCATTTATTTTCAATAGTAAATAACAAGCAGGAACCTTATTTGGACTTAGGCATAACTGTTTAAGTAGTTGTTCTTTTGTGCTTTCCCCACAGGGCCTCAGTTATCCAGTATTAAATGACATAACAACTTCCCAAATTCCCAGGAAAGATCCTTTTGCACAGTACCTGGCACCTAATTTGCTAACCAAAATAAAGAAAAAAAATGAATGAATGAATGAATCCAGTTGTACCAAAATGCACCTTCAAAATCCCAGAGCAAGAACACCATCGCTGCAGTAAACACACATCTACTCCCATTTCCCTGCAAGCAGCCTTTGTCCACGAAATAGTTAATGCAGTCTCAAAGAAGTCTCAAAGACAAGAAAATTCCAGCAACCAAATGAAAAAACAAATAGCTAAAGTCCATAATTATATACCCCAAATGCTGAAATTCATAAGATACTGCAGCAAATACTAAATATGAAGATCACTTTGCTATACTTTAATTCTGTGAATCCAACTTCCAGGTTAGTTCTGTAGTGTGTGAGGACAGACTGAGTACCAACTCAGTGTTGCCATTTTTCTTAACCTGAATAAGCACAGGGTCAAGGGTGGAGAGCTTTATAATCACTCCATAGTTCAATTCAGGTATTTATTTTAGCCTTCTCCTTTTCAAAAGTACTTGGGGGGGGGTCACATGTTTATAAAACTACATTTTCCACCAAAAAGAGAGCTATTTTTTGGACGAGCTAATGCACCACAGAAATACTTAAGGGAATATCATGTAGGCCGCCCCCCATCCCGGCAAACTATGGATTATTTCCTTTCATGACATCAGAGATCTAGCCAGATGATCTTTACTAAATATGCCACAGTTCACTATATTTCTCCCCTTCAATAGAGACAAAGCCCCTATTTTTCACTTTGTACTTGGAAACCAACCCAATAAAAGAAACCACCCTTTAACTTGTATATTAATACATCACTTGCAAAATCATGTGATAGCTACAATTAACTACCCATTAGAAAAACAATAATCTTACCTTTTTTCATTTCCATATGACTTCTGTGCAACTTTTGCATGAAGAATAAGTACTGTTTGATCCCCTCGCTCTTTTAAGTAATTTCGCATAGCTTCCCTAAAATAAAATATAAATATTACTATTACAGGGGTAAGATTTAGAATATTACTATGCTCTGTGATGAAAAGAATGATTAAATATATTTTTAAATAAGCAAATATAAAAAAGAAAACAAAAAAGCAGAACAAATCCAATAACTAAATTTAAAGAATATTATACAATGGGACCATAAATACTGTTCATTTTCGACTCCATATTTTATCCTTTAAAAGAAGAAACTGTCAAAAAAGAAGAAGAAGAAGAAGAAGAAGAAGAAGAAGAAGAAGAAGAAGAAACTGTCCCTCATTCCTGGAATTTATGATATAACTGAATTAAATCACAATTACAACTTCTAAAGAATAACTAGAATCATTATATGCATTGTTTACTTTACTTTCAACTGTCTGTAAAATGACATGCAACACTTTTATATTTAATAATCTAATTCCCACCACCACCAGTGCCATCTCCCCACCTACTAGGATCAGTACTTTGCAATGAATACAAGGCCATAACAAATCATTAGGTCACCCAAACTTATTATATGTACTATTATTATATGTTCTTAAAATTAACAGCCTTATATGAAGACTATGAAAAGGTTATCATGTGTACACAAACACACAATTACCCTGGAGGATGTTACCGAAGACATAACAAAATTTAATAAAGGTTAATTCAAATTAGTGAAAAACTAAATTAAATTTTGGGAAAAAATAATGTTAATTCTTTGAAATACAAACTACTTCAACTGCCTATTATGCACAAGCTGCATAAAAACTCCACTGTCTGAAATATATTTATTCTCTCAATTATTTTGCTAAGCAATAAAGAGTATACAAGGTCTACACAGATCAAACAATTCTGAATCTGCAGAGTTCCAATTCTTTAGATGTTTTACGCATTATGAAATTAAAGCAAAAACAATCAACAAGCATTTTGAATGCATTAAATGCTGTTTTATTTATACTGTAAATATAAGACAAATGTATTAAGAGGACAGCTATGCAGTAACTACATTATTAAGTGTAGGGAGTTCCAGACTTCTAGCATGTAGAAAGTGGCTTGGGACAAATCATTTCACCTCACCCAAGTCAAATAATAATGCAGACCCAACACAGATTGGTTGTGGGGATTAAATGAGATAATCTAGATGGCAGCATGTGCGGTTACTTACTGAAAACCTGCTGGCTGTGAGGCAGGGCAGGTAACACTGAGATCCAATAGCTTGAGAATTAATCCCTACTGCTGACAAGGAGCTTAAAAGTCCAGTGAAGACAAGAGCTTGGAAAACAAACTGTAATAAAATACATGACTCAGTCGTAGGAACAAAAAGCACCACTAAGGGAATATTTGTGTCAAGGAGGGGAAGGGTGACAAAGAACTACAGTTAACTCTTGAATGATGTGAAAGGTGGGAGAGCCAGCACCCTGCACAGTCAGAAATGTGCATGTAATTTTTGACTTCCCCCAAACTTAACTATTAAGAGCCTACTGAGGACTAGAAGCCTTCCCAATACCATAGTCGATTAGCACATATTTTGTATATGTATTATATACTGGATTCTTATAATACAGTAAGCTAGAGAAAAGAAAATGTTATTAAAATCATAAGGAAAATCCTGTACTGTACTCCATTTATCAGAAAAAAAAATCCACATGTTAAGTGGAACCATGCAGTTCAAACCCATGTTGTTGGGCAAGGGTTAACTATATACGCTAGGAAAAATTTCTTAAAAGAGTTAAATTCAAAAGGAAGAGGAGCAGACACAGGAAGTGGGAAGAGGAAAGAAGAAGGCATTCCAGTATCTGGGAGTGGTACATATATAAACACCAGAGACCCTACACATTCCGGTACATGGAGATTCAGGCTGAGGAATAAGGTAGACGCAACAACAAAACAGCAGCCAATATTTCTCGAGTATTTACTACATGCCAGAACTAAGCATCTGATGTGCACTGCTTCATTTAATCCTCATAAACCAGAAAGGTAAGAAGATTCTTAAAACCACTGTGAATGTCTTGCCCAGTGTGTAGCAATTCATGGCAGTTGGGAACTGAAACAATTCTTTAAAATTCAAAAGTGTGCCATGCCAGCGAGGAAAGGGGACACAGTGGGTAGAGTCCAGGTGTGAAAGGCTTATCAAACCCCTTGAAAATGTGACATTTGTAAACTTACATACTAATTCCAAAAGTTTAAGTTAATTCAAATATCACTCTGTGATAGATGATAATAAAAGTGGTAGCAAGTAATAAAATTTTTAAGAGACCTGGGGGGGGGAATTAAATGTAAGTAAGTAAGTAAATAAATAAATAAATAAAATCCTTCTCTTTGAGAATTGGGAAAAGATCATCATTTAATTTTATCCAAACCCCCTTCTAGAAAAACACAGCGCTACAGAATCTGGATTTTCAATCTAGACAAAAAGGCAATGAGAGATCTTTAGGTTTTTAAAACATTCAATTAATTTCCCTTTTAATGGTGGAATAGAGAAAGGATTAGAAAGCACTGAGACAAAACAAACTTGAAAAAAAGGCTGACACACTGAAAAGGAGGTAATAGAAGATAGTAGGAGGGAAGATGGAAAGACTTGCTAACTGTATCTTTTGTTCTGGGAGAAGTGGGTGCAGATTAACAGATTCTGTTTGATAAATGGGAATTCTGAAGTGTCCCTGGCTCTATGTATTCAATAGGGTGTTGGAAATTCCCATCTGTAGTTCCCGAGACAAATCTGGGGAGCAAGAGTGGGGCCTGCTGGTATGTAGTTCACACATGAAGCCACCATGGTGAATACAATCTCCCAGAAAGAAAGTACAGCGACAGGAGAGTCAAGAAGAAAATGTGTAAAAGGAAACAGTGAAGAACCAGTAAAGGGTAGAAATGCTATGGAAGGGGACAACCTTGAAAGAGGGTAAGAATCAAAAGGTAAGATGCTGCAGAGGTCAAGGTTACTTTATTTTTAGCAAGAAGTCTAACAGATGCCAGCTAACAGGAAGCCTTAATTTGTAAAATGAAAAGTCACCGTAACATCTTAATGGTAAGAAGAGAGCCATAATTATCTGGCAACACCCTCAAAGAAATGGCACAAAGCAGCCAACTATGGACAAGTAAAATGACAGAAGATCAGCATCAAAGGACCAGCCGTGGTGGAATCCATAAATGATGGTGCCAATTCCCACCAGCATCCAAAGCTGGGAATACAGACAGCATATTCTCAAAACTGCTGAGTACTGGATAAGAGGTACAGCCTGGAAAGGATAATGATGATAAAGTATTTGAGGTGTTGTCAGTAACTAATCATAGAGTTCAGCATGGAGAAGAAACCAAGATCAAAGTCAGAAGGCCAGTATCTTGACAAAAATGGAGGAGAAGTCCAGTTCTTGGCATAGAAACTTGAGAAGTTGCTATGTACTTGGAAAGAAAAATTTTAAGTAGCAATTTTAAGTATATTTCACTCCACTATAATCTATTTACATCTATAATCTCTATTATATCATTCAGCAATTACTTGGCATGTTTGTCTTTCCGAACAGAACACAAATTCTCTAAGACACACTATTAGGCATATTTTAGAACTGGGAGAGAAGTTAAACACCCAGAATTCAAACTTAGGTAGTCCAACTCTCAAAGACAAAATTATACTGTCAGATACTTTGCAACAGTTAAAAGCACAGCTTTGCTGTGAAACATACACGCACAAAAGTCTGAGTCTTAAATCTTGCCCTTTACCAAGCCTGAGTTTCCTTGCCTGTAAAATAGATGTGTACATATGTATTTAAACTAAGTTATTAGCCCGACTAACTTATATCAAGTGTCAGTAAACTCTTCTATTACTACTATTATCCTCTGAGAAGAGGGTAAGGAGTAGGAGGGCAAGGCATGGCAGCACTTCCACTGAAGTTTGAGAGCAAACTTGAAAAGGTCCTGGAGGTAAATGATCAGGCATGTCACCTGACCTACAAGGCGCCCTGTCTGTGGACATGACAGGGAAACCTTACATTTACCCATCTTTCCCCCATTAAAGATTTACAGAGAACCTATATCCCAGCACTGGCCATCATGCTAGTTGCTCATACTGGAAGTAGCTGTGTATAATTACGATTGTTGACAAAAGATTTCAGGATCTCAAGTTGTTTATGTGAGTGAAAGATGGCAGTTCCAGTTTTAATCTTCTCCCTTCATATTTATAATATGAATTCTTGAAAAAGCAACAAGAACCTTCAGATAACCATTAGTAATAGATGTCTTGTGACTAATTTGCCAAATAGCTTCTTTCAGCAAGGAAAAAAAGCCCTCTGCTTCCTTAATAGAATATCAAACCCACTTTTCTGGTAATTAAAGCTTGATCCTTTCATCCAGCATTCTTAAGGAGTCATAACAAACAAAGCCGACATATTCCAAAGAAACACAATTAAATAATAAGGCCCAGAGAATGCCAGTCCAGTCCATGTGCCTTTCATCCAAATAGAGCAGGGTTTCACCAACAGGAGGGGATTTCGGTTTCAGCACCGCTGACAACCTGGGCAAAACAATCCTTTGCTACAAGGAGACTCTTCAATGCACCAGAAGGAGTTCAGCAACATTTCTAGCTTCTACCCATCTGAAGCCAGCAGCACCCTTCCTCAAACTATGGAAACCAAAACTGTCTCCAGATACTGGCTAATGTGAGGGGGCTGCAAAGGGGAGGTCACCTGGGTTGAAAACCACTTGGTTAGAGAAAGTCAAAAGTATTCCAATAAAATGGCAAAAATCATCCGCTGTCTTTTTAAAAAAGAATAAGGGAAATTTTATCATTGGAAAACATAGTCTAGGTATTGTAAGAATCTTACTAATAAAATTACTATTCTGTATTACTGAATTGTTAAAAAGAATGACAAAGTTAAAACTCATAATTTCTTGGAAGAGTCACTATTCTAATGAGTTTGTATTCTTTGTTAATTTCATTTAATGATTCCTTAGAACACAAAATATTCATTCTGAATAAAAACCAATTAAAAATTATTTGAAGAACACTGGGT